GCTATCGACATAAAAATAGTGATATATTATGGGAGTGGGAATTTTAGGACTAGAGCTTCAAAGAAGGGCAAAGAAATAGAAGAAGTCAATTTTAGTCTCTCAAAAGTCTTGATATGCTAGTTGAGTTAGGTTTGGCTTGACCAAATACACAATATTTACCCATACAAAATAATTAACTCCTGTTAATTTTCAATTTTTTAAAATTTAAAAGTTGATTTTTAAGTTAACCTAGCTAGTTGTACACATATGATTAGGGGTTATGATATATAGTAGGTAGTTACAGTACTAATTAGTTACCAACATGATTCAATTATGACTGTTTGGTACAAAATTATGATTATGAAATTACAAAATGATTTTCTAGAACTAATAACTCCTACTCAAATAGTTGAAAAAACATCAAGACTTGAAAAAGTTAAAACAATAGAACCTATACAAATTATATTGAATTATCAACTACTGTGTTTTAATCTCAAATTATATTGTTCTGTTATGTGAAACTTGAAGCGAGAGTCTTTCGGAAATAGGCTCTCTACTACCTCACTAGATAGGAGGTAAGATTTGCATACACTTTATCCTCCTCAAACTTCAATTTGAGATCGACTATACTTTGTGACCCTCACATGGGCGGAGTTAATTGTGTGTTGATGAATATACATGTTACCTTTCTTGGAAAAAAAGAAGTCACATCGATCATTAGCCATATCATCACCTTTCAAAGCAATTACCTACTTATATACAAAGACCCAAGTAACAATAAACCCTAAAGCAACATTAATATCAAACTTACATATTATAGACTGATAGTCTGATACTTACTAATAAATAAAAAAATATTTTAAAATGTCATATAGTATTAAGGAAAAACTACATAATTAGACATACTTTACTATCATATATTATTATTATTATTATTATTTATACTTTTAAAATATTACGTATTTTACCATTAATTAAGAATTTCCTACCAGATATTGTCACGACCCGATTTCTCAAGTCATGATGGCACCTACTATAACCCACCAGTAGGTAAGCCAACCCGTAACCCGGAACAACAAGTAATGGGTCTGAGGGTAGAAACTAAACAAGAATAGGCAAATAACAATATAAACAGGCGGAAGCAAACCAAAAATATATATACAAATAAAGATCCCTTCCAGAACCTGGAAGTCACTAGTACAGAGCTGCTAACAAAATGAGTACAAGTCCCAAAAATGGACAACAGAGACTGGACTGTCTCGAAAGGTAAAAGACAAGTCTATATATACAGATGGAGACTGAAATAGTACAAAACGTCGTGTGCTCACTCCCGTCTCCGAATCAGTCTGCTCCAAGCTCGATCAACGCTGGCTACTAGTGCCCGGACTTGCATCACGAAATAGATGCAGAGCGTAGCATGAGTACCAAAACAACAGGTACCCAGTAGGCATCATAGGCCGACTGAACTTGAAAAGTAAAGACAATATGAAAAGAAGGAATAACACAAACCGAGGGTCAAGAACTAAAATCTAACTAACAATGGAATGCACACGAGTGTAGAAAGAACTTACTAAAGTAATCTATAAGCTAACTATACCTAACTGGGCCCCCATAAGCCCAGAAGGTACACTCGTGCGCAAGTTAAATAAAAACCCGAACGGACCCCCATAAGCCCGACGAGTACACAGAATAACTATAACTAAAGAGAATTGCATAAAAGAACCCAAGAACGAAGAACACGAATCAGAACCTCAACCCTAATGAGTAAAATCTGACAGTACGGAGGCCGGACTTCGAACCGGATGCTCACCAGAAGTACCCAAGTAACCAATCACAAGTAACAAGTATAAGAGGCCGGAACTCTAACAGGATGCTCTATATAGGTATCTGAGCAATAGAGGCCGGACCTCGAACCGAATGCTCTATATAAGTATCTGGGCGATAGAGGCCGGACCTTAAACCGGATGCTCTATATAAGTATCTGGGCGATAGAGGCCGGACCTTAAACCGGATGCTCTATATAAGTATCTGGGCGATAGAGGCCGGACCTTAAACCGGATGCTCTATATAAGTATCTGGGCGATAGAGGCCGGACCTTAAACCGGATGCTCTATATAAGTATCTGGGCGATAGAGGCCGGACCTTAAACCGGATGCTCTATATAAGTATCTGGGCGATAGAGGCCGGACCTTAAACCGGATGCTCTATATAAGTATCTGGGCGATAGAGGCCGGACCTTAAACCGGATGCTCTATATAAGTATCTGGGCGATAGAGGCCGGACCTTAAACCGGATGCTCTATATAAGTATCTGGGCGATAGAGGCCGGACCTTAAACCGGATGCTCTATATAAGTATCTGGGCGATAGAGGCCGGACCTTAAACCGGATGCTCTATATAAGTATCTGGGCGATAGAGGCCGGACCTTAAACCGGATGCTCTATATAAGTATCTGGGCGATAGAGGCCGGACCTTAAACCGGATGCTCTATATAAGTATCTGGGCGATAGAGGCCGGACCTTAAACCGGATGCTCTATATAAGTATCTGGGCGATAGAGGCCGGACCTTAAACCGGATGCTCTATAAAGG